AGCCCCCTCAGGACGAAGGGGCCAGCATCAACTCTCCCCGTAACCTGGCCCTCGAGGCCACCTTCATCAACCACAACTTCTCCCAGCAGGTGCTCAAGATGGTAAGGAAGAAAAAAGTATGTATCACCATTTTCATTATTTTCGATCCTTTCCTTTCTCTTCTGTTCCTTTCCATCCATTTGCTTTGATTTGATCATTCTTTCTCTTGACTAAGTTGGACTTTTTGGTTACACATCAGTTGTTCAATGATTTGAAGTACCCTGTTTTCTCATCATGTTTGCTCTTATGTTGAAGCCATCCAGCCAGAAAGGTTTTGTGTGTGTGTATCTTATATGTTATTCAATGTGTTGTGTAAATGATGTTCCTCCTGTAGGGAAGCAGTGATGTGTACAGATTTAACAAGCCCAACCCTTTTGTGACTGACGAGGATGAAGGTGAAGTGGCATCGGTGGCATACAGGTTTGTACCATCATATATGGACAACACAGGCTTCACAACTTGTTCCATTTTTCCCCTCAACCAGTTCAAGATACATATGCATCTTATCAGCCTGTTTGTAACTTAACACATGAGACAATTTGAAGATAGAGTGAATGTATTTTAACAGATTTTCTGTAGTCATTAAATGGAAAGGATAAGTACAAGTTATCAACATTTACATGGTGTTGACTAGTCATGACGGAGTCAGGACGACTCGGACCATTACCAACTCGGCCCATCGCAAATTTGGTCAACTCGGCCCACCGCCCTGGTCAAGTCGGCCCATCACCAAATCAACCATGTTGACTATGAGATTTTTTAAAGTCCCAAACCGCCGGTGCTTGGGCAATCAACATGATTTTATAGAGACTGCGTCTTTTTGTTAGATAACTTCGAACTGTAGACTTTGAGTTTTTTTAAAGTCAAAACCCGCCTGTGCTTGGGCAATCAACGTGGCTTTAACCGAGACCACGATTTTTTGTTAGACAACAAAATTTAACTATTGAATTGTTTGGCTATAAAACGGGATAAAAAAAGTCTAGTCATTCAGTGTACCGGAGAGCGACGCGACTTTGACTATCGATGTGCCTAGCTACCACACGATACTAGACAGATTCATTTGTTCACACTATTTTAGTACATTCTTACTTTGTTTCATGGCAATATTGTACGGATTACTTTAGTAGAAATAGTCTGTAATTGTAAGCCTTCAATGAACGTCGTTTGTTGACTAAGGAGTAGCGCTAGTTCTATTCGTTATACTTGTGGAAAAAGAAAGAAATTACATAAGTTGAATGAACTTCTTATTGAAGATCGATGATATTTGTTCGAAAATTGACATCGTGTGTGCGTGTGTTTCTGCCTAAATTACTGTCTCCGGTATTGGGCGGAGTTGACCCGGGAGTTGGGCCGAGTTGACCAGGTAGATGGGACGAGTTGTCTGGGCCGAGTCGGTAATGTGTTGAAGAAGAGAAACAAAGGAGCTCTTGACAACACCTATGGGTTCTAACTTCTTGGAGAAATTAATGGGCCCTCTGATTGTTACACAGGTACCGGAAGTACAAGTTAGGAAATGACATAGAGCTTGTGGTGCGCTGTGAACATGACGGGTCCATGCTGGGTCCAAATGGAGAAACACAGTTCATCAACATCAAGACTCTGAATGAGTGGGACTCACGGGTGGGCCATTGTCTATTGCTTTTGTCTTGTATATATGCTACTGACTAGTTCATAAGAGGCAGGGTTTTGTGACATTATGTCTATTACTTCAAGCATGTTCTGCATGTATGTAAATTGCAAGGAAATTAGAGGTAGGAAAGTGCTGTTGACTTGCTAATTGTATAATTTTTTATTTATTTGCCCAATGCATTATACCTCAGTTTACTTCTGTCAGTTGAAAGTATTGGGTAGAAACTCAAGATGGATTGAGTTTGTTGTGTCTCTAATTGTTACAGTTCAGTAACAAGAATGTGGAATGGCGGGCCAAGCTGGATTCGCAGCGCGGTGCTGTGCTGGCCACTGAGCTGAAGAACAACAGCTGTAAGCTGGCCAAGTGGACAGCATCTGCTGTCCTGGCTGGGTCTGATGCACTCAAGCTGGGGTGAGTTGGCTCTCAAGATATGTATGTGTAGAGAATAGTAAAACTTGGTCACAACCACCTCTTTAGAGTTGGTGAGAGGACAAAAGAGACAAAAAGCTCTTAACTTTGTTTTACTGTTTTAATGTGGCTTATGACTGGAGGTGGTTGGGTGTCACAGGTGGCTGGTACATAGTCCAAATTTTAGGACGTTGTATGTTATGTCCATATGCAAACAAGTACTATACCATCAATCAGTTGATTTCTCTTTTTCCTTTCTTGTGAATGAATGAGTCGTGAATGAGCTGGGGTCGTGTGGCGTACATAGTAGCATGTTCGCCACACCACATGCACATTAGAGAACCCACCGCACTTACCCAAAAGAGTAGGGGTCCTTCCCAGTGTGAGGGGTTCAAACCTTACAGTCTGGTGTTACGCAGCTTGTACTTACATGTACAAAACTGTTGTGTTACGCCTAAAAAAAGGCATTTTACCGGTTACGCGAAACAAACAAATGAATGGTTTATTGTCCAGGTATGTTTCCCGTGTTAACGTCCGCGACTCCTCCAAGCACGTGATCCTGGGCACGCAGCAGTTCAACCCGCGGGAACTGGCCGCTCAGATCAACCTGGACATGCAAAACGCCTGGGGGATCGTACGCTGCATCATCGACACCTGCATGAAGCTGGACGAGGGCAAGTACCTCATCCTCAAGGACCCCAACAAGGTAAGGTCCTACCTGGTTTTCTTGTTCCTTATACACAAATGTTGACTAGTTCTGCCTGTGTATTCTAGTGATGAAGAGTGGTGGATGTCACTCAAAATGTCTTAATACTTAATAAGTAATCTCTGTATACGTCGGTAAAGGTTTGACGTCCAGTTAATGAGATACGCAAGAAATCGTTATTCAAGCAAGTGAAAAGTGTCGAAAAGTAGTGGACGCTACTTGAAAGCTCGAAAACTCTTCCAATCCAGATTTACTCAAACCACATCCTACTTCCAAGCCAGATTTACTCAAACCCTGCGCTAGTTCCAATCCAGGTTTGCTCAAACCCTACCCTAGTTCCAATCCAGATTTGCTCAAACCCTCCCCTTCTTCCAATCCAGATTTACTCAAACCCAACTCTAGTTCCTCTGACAGCTTTCAAAATCTATCCAGTTGCCTGAGTACTAGTAACTCCCTAATCTCAGCTTGTTGAAGAGCGGTCACATGGCTGAACAAGCTATCAAGACAAAATGAATGCATTGATTTGATGTTATACAGCAGTAGAGTTTGGATTGTGTATGAGATGTTAACAGAAGCCTGTTCCTTCCAGCCTGTCATCAGGGTGTACGGTCTGCCTGAGGGAACCTTCAGCTCTGATGAGGACGATGATGAAGAAGAGTCAGAAGAGGAGGACGACGATGATGATGATGATGATGAGGAAGACGATGATGATGATGATGAGAAAAATGGTTAGTTTATGACGGACGGAACAACTGCTGGAAGTCAACATTAACAGTATAGCCACCTGTACACATACTACAACTTGATGTTACTACATGTACATGTAGTAACATCAAGTAATAAGTTCACTTTCACACCTTCACCACCATGTCATGTCACTTCCTAACAAAATATTACTCGAATGAAACGGACTACTGGAACTGAATGCATGCTACATAGGCAACTTCACACCGTCATCTCAGCTGTTAATACACCAGCTACACAGCATGCTAATAGTTAAGTGAGCACCTGTAACATTGGTACTCCAACAGCATAACTTTTTCTTCAGTTAACCATAACTTTTTACAGTAAATATGCTAATGCCTGAACACAGAGTTAATACCAAATAAAGAGCCCTTTTCCTACAATGTAAAATGTCACATATTGGTCTGCAAGATACCTTTCTTGCAGCAAACAAGTGTCTTAGTACAATGTCTTGTGTGTGAACTGCATTGTGAAGAATACGCCTTGCCCAGGGTGTCCATAGTACGGATAGAAAGTGTTGTTAACCATGCCTTACATGTTTCAACAGATGATGACAAGAAGTAACTCCAGAATGCAGCAAGATGGAAGGAACATTGCAGTTTCTTCCTGTTTGAAATGAAGTAGTGCATCTCCAAGTGCATGCATAGTTTATCTAATGACATGGTAATAACCCCCTAGAAAAGGTAAAGCTTGAATTGGAAATATTTGGCATGGCTTTTGCATTCTACTTATATATATCTTGTATTCATGTGGGTATACTTAAATGACAACTGGAAAAGTACCATTAGGCCACACCAATTTAATTTCCTGGTTAACGGATTTTTCTAGAAAAATAAGCGGGCGGGCGAAAAAAAATAAAAACAGGCCTAGGCATCCTATTATGGCCCAAAATGGTACGATAGGAGCCATGAAGTCAACACACCCGGCTGGTTCAAAATCTAAACAATTAATTTTGAACTTTTAATGATACCATTGCATTGAAAGATGGAATAACTGTAACAACTAGGATGAAAAGGACTGTTTTCAACTGTTCAGGGCAAAATATGAGCATTTTGCAGCTGATTCTGAATTTTTATTTTTATTTGCAAATCAGAAAAAAATGAAGCGGGCGAATCCGTTAACCAAGAAATTAAATTGGTGTGGCCTTAGTAGGGCTTGAAAGGTGACCCATTGCAAATTATGTTGTTTTTCCATAACTCAGACTAAGTTTTGTCTTCAGAACAGATGTGACAGAGACAACTTCTTGAATCCAATAAAATTGTATCCTCTATTGATATTGATGAGTGTATGATTGTCTGTTTTTAATCTCTGTATTTTCACACTAGAACAATCTGTTGAAGCAGGGGGGGGGGTGAGGGTTAAGGATTTTAGATTATGGAAATAGCCCCCAACTTTGATGGTTACCAGTATTTTTTTAAAAATATATTTTGAAACATTTGGTCCTCACAAGTAAGAAGTGTACACATGTAGAGCTAAGTGAAAAATGTTCCTTTAATTGTCACAATTATAACAGTCTCTTAAAGGATTGCTACAAGACCCCTAATCTACTAAGATGTAACAATAGTACATGTAGATGAGGTTCATAATAGACATTAAGCAAGGCAAGTTAAGCTTTGTTACATGTATATATACATTTTAGGTAATACAAATATGCTACTTAGAATTTAGAGATTGGCTCAATCTATTTTATAATTTAAGGGAAAATTATCTTTTCCCTTGTTGAATTTTTTCATAATTGCCCTGCAAAGATGTAAAGAGTGCAGTGGAAGGTATTAGGCCCTATCAAATTTTCCTTCAAATGCAGAAATATCTTTGCAAAAAAAAAAAAACTGACAATCTTTATGATCTTAGTTGTCAAATTTCTTATAATTGACTATTAAAGGGGGATACATAAAATAACACTGTCTTAGTAGTACATTACAGTGCAAAATTCACTGCTTGTCTCAGTAAATTTGACCAGCCAACAGTGTCTACATACATTGTACAAATTGTACCTGGACATCAGTTGTGACCTAATTTGATCTATCAAGCAGATGCATACAAAGTTTCAGAAGAGTCTTCAACTCAAAATATGAGACTATCTTTCCACATTTGGTAGAATTGATAACAAATTTTTTAGTTGATGTGAAAAACAGTTCCCATTTCCCTTCAAGCCAGGAGACAAACTATCCTCACTGGCTGAAAGAGTGCCAAGAGCTTCTGTACTTCAGAATACAAATGATATTGAGTCATTCTATCTTACAGCTTTAAACATCACATCTTCAGTAAATGACTAGGAATGCACCAGCAAGCAAGCTAGCTGTGAAAACAGTTTTGCAGGGAACTAGCCGTAGCAGATTTTACGTCTTGTCGTCGGTCATTTCCAGGAACTGAGCGTACGCGTCCCTCGTACATTCACCCTTCGGGTTGAAAAGGAACTTGTAGTAGCTTCCGTCTGAACAGATGGCTGTGGAAAATAGAAATATTCAATGCTTGATTCTGAGTAAAGAGACTTTTTTTATACAACCAAGTCGACTTTTTCGACTTCATAAAAGACTTGGTTGTGTAAAAGGAGTCTCTACTCAGTGACTTACCAACCCGATGAAACTTCACGAATGTTTGATTCTGTTTTTTCCCCCCACACATTCCCTACAACTTGAGTTATACCTTTATCATTTTGTGTAACTCCTATTTACTGGTTACATACATGTATATCGCACTTTGAGAAACAGTGTGTTGAGAGTGTAGCACCCCCAGGTATACACAGTTTAGATATACATGTATGCATTATACTGGTGAAGTTGTACTCAAGATTTCTTTAGCTGCATATTTTTCAGGATGGCAGATATACGTGACCCGGTGGATGAATTTTAATAACTTTTTCTCTCTTGAAGAAAAGATATATATAATTTACAATATGTATAACATCATAGCCTGAAGCCAACTCACCTATAACAGAATTGGGCTCAGAACCAAAGGCACAGATGCACTGGGTCTGGTTGGGGACTTGGAAGCGCGAAAAACTCCACTTGGAGGAGAAGTACTTGGGCAGAAAGCTGGCAGCTGCCAGGCTGAAGATAAGAAGAATCAATATGTTTCACTATATGTACATGTATTGTATATCCTGTGTGCAGCAAAGTTAATACATCCATACACAACACTGATGGCATGTGGTAACTTGTGGGAGGTGTGAACATGGAACGTGTTCTGATTTTTTAAAAAGAAACCTGATACTAGAAAAATCTCAAATCTTCACAAAGGGTCTCGTTTTGTGACTGTCTTCGGCTCTGCAATTTTCAATGAATCAATACTGGGGTATGTCAATACATGTATATCTTTGAATACAAATGTTACCTGGACTGCTTGTTTTTCTTGGGATCTTCCACAGCAAATATGTGGACTGTACCATGGTCACTTGACACACACAAGAGGGATGCATCCTGGTTGAAGTTCATGCTGAAAAAGAGATAACCACAGTAAAAAACCTAAACTACAAACAGTCACTACTTCATTACATACTATTGTATTTTACATTTTAAATACAATGTACATGGTAGTAATGCAGATGTATTTCATGTATCTAATTCAGGTAAACTTGACAAATATTTACCAGTATATCTGAGCACTTCCTGTGCCTCTCCTTAACTCATGGAGCAGCTGGTATGATGCTGTGTCAAACACACGGATCAGTGTTCCCTGAAAATATGAAAACAACCATGATGTTACAACATTAATCCCTGGGTTCTTTGCAATTTCTTTTGCTGTCTGAAATGTTTTCATTCCCAAAACAAACTAAAATTCTTTAGGCCACACCAAGTAAATTTTATGGATGACGTCCGCGCGCACATTGATTTTGGCCAGTTCCTAGAGGTATGTCCAGTATCAGGGTGAAGTGGCAGAAGTTAGGGTGGCAGAAGTTGTCTGAAGTTGTCCGAAGTTATGGCCATTTCCGAGTGGTTTTGGGGGTTATCGGGAGTAAAGTCTGACGTCACTGTAACTTCCGACACTTGTGGGGTAGGGTGACAGGTGTCTGAAGTTGTCCGAAGTTGTCTGAAGTTACGTGACGTCACTGTAACTTCCGACATTTGTGGGGTAGGGTGGCAGGTGTCCGAAGTTGTCTGAAGTTACGTGACGTCACTGTAACTTCCGACACTTGTGGGTAGGGTGGCAGGTGTCTGAAGTTGTCCGAAGTTGTCTGAAGTTACGTGACGTCACTGTAACTTCCGACACTTCATACCAGTCACCCTGATACTCCGGGAGAGTGTCTAAAGTTAGGATGACGTCATAACTTCGGACAACTTCGGACAAATTCCGACACCTCCCGGGAGAGTGTCTGAAGTTAGGTTGACGTCATAACTTCAGACAACTTCCGACACCTTCTGCCACCTCCCGGGAGACTGTCTAAAGTTAGGTGACGTCATAACTTCGGACAACTTCCGACAACTTCTGCCACCTCCCGGGAGACTGTCTAAAGTTAGGATGACGTAATAACATAACTTCGGAGAACTTCGGATGCGTCCGATAGCAGGCCGACAGGAGAGTCAAAATACGGAAAAGCACGAAGTTACATATGACGTAAGCTGATGTTAACTTCTGACAACTTCTGCCATTTCACCCTGATACTGGACATGTATGAGTTCCTAGAAAAAAAAACAAGAAATTCCGCTTCCTGTAACTATGACCAAAGAGTCACGACAGTGCCGCAAATCGTCAGATTGACGTGAAACCCGTAACGCGTGTGTCTAAGTGTCTATTACCATCCTGTCAATCTTAGAAAATTTTTCACTTTCCACTGTTCCACCTGATTTATTGCTGTTTTGATGATGAATAAAAGACTTCTTGCTTGTTACACTGTGTCATCTCATTCAATTTGTGTCCTAACATTTGTCGTCTCTTAGTATATTTCTAATCTAGGCATCTTGTTTTTTAGGGCCCTACTTGTTTTTTTTCGCCCTCTCGCATTAGACTTAGGGTCTCCCAAGGACGTCATCCATAAAATTTACTTGGTGTGGCCTTATTTGTAAATACATGTACCACTAAACTTCATGCAATGCAGAGTTCTTACATGAACAATTATTATTAATGCCGATCAAGACCAGTGGAAAGGTATCCTAATTGTAAATACATAATGTGGAACTTAAAGGCATCCAGTGCAGTTATAGGGCTTGGAAACCTGATTTTTCAATATTCTAGTTATGTATCTACCTAATGTTACAAAGTTAAAACCACACTATCCCAATGTATATTGACCCTCATGGAGCAAAAATACCCAAAATTCTGACGGAAAATGGTTACTGAAAGGGCCCTGGGCTGATTATTAGCTAAGGGTACCACCTATAAAATAAAGGACTCATCTTGGGGCTTGTTTCTGCAGGGTTAAATGGCCAAACTATGAAATCCTGATTGAAGTGTACTAATTTGGGGCAGTATGTGTCAATATCGCAAAGATTGCCATATTCAGAATATTTCCAGTTTTGCTGCTCTGAAATCACACTGGATGCCTTTAAACCACTGACCTTTTCTGAGGCCGTGGCGAGCCTTGTTCCCTGTAAGTTCATAGTGATACAGGTCAGGGCACCCTCGTGTGCCGCGATGTCGGCCGGCGCCTTCTCTGTGTTAGCAAGGTCAACGACCTGCACATGACCTGTCCGTCTGGCGGGGAAGGCCAGGAGTGAGTTGTTGCTATTTGGACAGAGGACACACAGACCTGGGGAGGGGTGAGATCATCACACAAAATTATGGACTGAAACATAGAATTATTAGTATCTATTTTTCATTTTTATTTTCTGTCATTTTTACTCAGTGGTACATGTAACACCACTGGTTTTTCTGGGGGCCATGCATCATACATACATAAACATAAAGTACATACAATATAATGTCACATACAATCAATAAAATTTAGATACTGCACAATAAATAATAATAATGAACAAAAAAAAGTAGTTGGCAGAAAGTAAAAGGTGAAAGTACAGACATACCAGTAATGTACAGTGCAACAGTAACAGGACTATGTTAGTATCCAAGGTAATTCCTAGTATACCACAAGTGAAACATCTGTAATTCTAAATACATGTACATGGTGGCTATAATACAGCAAAAAGCATCCTGAAACTTGAAAAGGTAACTTAATGACAGACTAACCTTTGGAATTCTTACACGTCTCAAAGACATGAAGCTGCTGTGGATTCTGTGTGAATGTGTACACCTTGATCATGTTGTCCAACACAACCACAATCCTGGAACAACACATGAACAACACTACAACATTTCATAATAATATTACATTCTATGACTTCAATATACATGAATATGCATCATACTGCAGTGGTAGAAATACTTTTTGTACAGTGATCTGCAATATTGCACAATGTCAAAATTTTCTTCTGCAATTTGAAAATTCTTTTTGCAGGTACACACAAAAGTCCGGATCTAAACCCATGGCATATACAAAATTGCATGTTGGCAAACATTTTGAAAAATAAGTTGTATATTATAGAGTAAGTAGTAAATACTGAAAGCTCTTAAACCCCATTGAACCCCTACCCTGATTTTTGCAGTCTGCAAAATTGCAGGTTGCTAAATTTTTCTAAATTTAATGTCTCTGCAAAATGCAGATGGAAATTTCTAACACTGATAGTGATACTGCATGCTAAGACCTATTAAAGGACACAGACTGACCTGTCTCTTCTCAATTTGACAGCCTTGACGTCTGATGAGAAGTCTAACTCAATAACGTGCTTCTTCTTCAGGTCATCCCAGATCATAACTGGTGGAAAACAGTCATGTAATTTTTTTTCCACAATCTACACTATTTTGAAGATGCAAGAATGTAGGAATGGAAACTTTGGAGATGAGTTTGTTGGGTAACTAAAGAAGGTACGTAATATAAAAGATGAAGTTAATGAAACAAGTCCATGTAGGCACAACAATGACACAGTACTACAAAGTTGTATGTTCTTCACAACTAAGATAAAGATGTTATTTTTAGCCACTTAAGACGTTTGCGAGAAAGTTGTTTATCATGGATTTAGATGTGACACATGGAACCATATGGATCAATCAGAAGCAATGGCATGAAAATTATAATCATGCATCAACAACATAAAAATGCTGGTACATGTTTTTCAACCTAGATATGACATACAATGACCTGTTCCATTATCTGTCAAGAAAAGGTTTAAAGGGTTAATAGTTGACTGATTGTTTGTTTGCCCCTTTGTACAATCAAAACATGATAACTCCAAAACAGGGTCACTTTGTCCTGCATCAGTACTCATGACTTAACTTTGGACTTTTATCTACCCTTAAGTTTACCATAAGGATGTACGTGTAAACAAAAAATACTGAATAGTGGCCAGATGGCAAGCTTTTTGTCTCAGTCCCAACATTTTCTCTACACATTGCATACTTAAGAGCCTTACAATGAAAATGATGATATACAGATCCTATAAGTGTCCATAGCCCCGCCCACTTTTTTCAAAAGGAGGGAATGCAAAGGTTTCTACTCAATCTCTCATTGGTTGAACTGTTAGTTTTCAACAAAACTTTTCACAAGGACAGTAAGTCTGGTAGCAGTCTTGTACCTTTGTTGGGAGGAAACTTTGGGCTCTTCCCTCCCCCGACAAGGGCCAGGTAGTTACACCTGAACAACATCTCCACATGACTGATGCCTCCATCTGGGAAGTCTGGGGGGAAAGAGGGAAGAAAGAAAAATGGTTGTATTGACTAGTGAGCAACATTTCTAAATTTGATGATTAGAAAAAAAAAAACTAATCTACTTATCTTTATAAAATTGATGCCATCAAAATTAGTTTAATGATGGATTAAAGTTAAAGTAATACTTACCATGTCTTTCTTTTTCCTTCAATGGGTCACAGTTATAGATGCGGAACCCATTCTCCATTCCACAGGCAAAACAGCCTGGAAAGTATAAGAGTATAAAAAAGAGTATAAGAGTATAAAAAAAACAGCTGAAGTATAGAAAAATCTAGTTTGGGAGAGGGTCATGGATGTCAACGACAGCAAGTTGACTCACATGGGATTTTGTAACAATATTTGTCTGCCTTGAATCTTATATTGAATCTGCATGATGAATTATTTATAACACTCTGTGTGGACATTTTTTTAGTATCACAAGGTGCAGGAAATACAGATAGAAATTGGATTAACTTTCATTAGGGAAAGTATGGAAGTATAACTGGGTCTAAGGTTTTGGACCATCTCATTTATAAGGTTAATTACATAATGTTACATGTATTTGACTTATGCAGGTTTGGGCCAATTCAATTCCTAATGATGGTTCATATCACTTTTCGTTGTATTGTGGTAAATACATGTACTTTCATTTGCTTCCTGTCAATTTTTTTGTCGTTTTGTTTGCATTGACATACTTTTTGCAATTAAGTTATTGAAATTAAACTTTCTGTGTACAGTATTTTGAAATGTTTCTTAATACTCACAGTATGTTGACCATGAACTTTGAACTGAGTTTCTGAGAGAGGCTGATGTAACTTATAAGATTTGTTCTGCCATATTACTTGTCACGACTGAAAGCTTTTTGTAAGTCTTGGTGACATAGAACCCTTACAAATTATTCTGTAGTTCAGCCAGGAAAAAAACTCAAGAGGTGCATGAGGCAAAGTGAGAAATGGGGTGGGGCTCGACGTCATGTGGCACTAAGCTTAGCTTAGGCACTCATCCAAATCATTACCCTCTTATATTTCCTCAAAATCCAAAGACTTCGTAAAATCGTAGATCTTAAACATTGGGCCTCTTAATCAAGGCCCAACATAATTTTTCCTTCAAGTCTATTCAAATATTTGACTCACAAACCATCACAACTTGATTTTTGCTCGCTAACGTTTGGTTACGTTGTGACACACATTTTCTCTTACCTTGGTCTTGATTCCAGCCGGCATACAGGAGGCCATTGTCATGCAGGCTGCTAGTTCCAATATTCATGGTTACAGCCAAGTTCAGGACGGCGTCTTATCTCGACCTTGACCGCCCTTTTCCGTTAAAAAAATCCTGATCGCTACAACTTTTGCGTCCAACAGGAAATAAACCCCGCCATTGCTGAATTTGTGACCTTTCGCCCCTAAAACGTATCCCCACATTCGCTACATCGATGTTTACGTGTTTACCTTGCAGATAAGTAACTATTTAGTGTTAAACTATCACTATATAAAACAGATAATGATAAACTGCCGATACAAATTATCACGTCTTGACGTTTTGTTCTTGTAAACTCTACAAAATGCCAAAATCCATGTTTAAGAGAGGATTTGAATCTGAGGTCGAGTGTGATACGCTACGTTGCTGTTCCTCAAATAAACTCTCCGGCATTTGGACACGCGGCTTCGATCTGCGTCTCTCAGCCGCCGAGTCTCTCGTCTTTTCTCCGTCGTCTCCTGCGTTTTTTACGCCCAATCAAGGCAAGTGTTTCTATCAAACGGCTCGTCAAGTGTTGGGTGATGTTGTGTCCGCTGCTGTGGCTTGAGTTCGCTCGTAACAGCTCGCTATCGGTGCCGGTTTGTTGGCTATTTTGAGCCATGCCTGTTTCCTATACGTATACGTGGGGGTTGCATAAGCATAAGCAGTCGCAGTGATTTCCTCTAATCTGTCTGCTGGAATTCCCAGACTTCGTTGGTGCCTTAATTAACGATGCTAGGCGACAATTGCTGCCAGCCTGTCGTCATTACATACAATTTCTCCCAAACGTCAACTTTAAACGTAATCATAAAAACCAGGACTTTCAGGTTGATACTACAAGTCTACAAAAATTTTCACACAGGTACGTTTTATAAGTAAAAGGTGGGCCATCTCATTTTAAAGTTCAAGGAGTGGCCTTGAGCAATGTTATTAACACAGAAAGGGAGGGAGATAAAGACCATGCTGTTGTACGTTTTATATACTATTTCGACATTGAAAATAAAGGAGAAAGCCCTTGAAAAGAAAAGCTTGGAATGATTGAGTGGATGTAACTTTGTTGCACATCAGGAGAAGTTCAAAGTGCTAACGTTACATATTTATGATTAGTGATGCATACCTAAACCCAATTTTAGGTTCAGGTCCGGATTCAAGTCCAGAGGTTTAGGTTCAGGTCCGGACTTAAGTCCGTACCTAAACCCATGGTATATACAAAATTGCATGTTGGCAACCTTGCAATGTTGTCTGGGTGAAACTTTGGCCACATAACATGGAGGCCGGTACTTGACGATGTCCGATGGCAATGTTTTCTTCATTTTGCAGCAAATATTTTACAATCTACGTAAGGTTTTAGATGGTTTGGAAAGAAAAGGGGTATGCGAAATGGTCTTTTATGGTAATAAGTCCGGACTCGGTTCTTGACTTTTAGGTTTTTTTGGACTTGAACCTAAACATTCTTACAAGTCCGGATCCAAGTCCAGTGAACCGGTATGCATCACTATTTATGATAAAATATTCAACTGTTATTTATTCAAAACCTTTTGGCCATATTTTTCGTAGCATAACCCCCTCGACTTGTGACTTGGTTCCTTCCAAGCAAAAGCTCAGTAAAGGTTACACATACCTACTATGTTCCCATGTCTTTACAGACCCCTCACGTTGTCGACATGGCCGTCAGGAAGAAGCTGGAAGGGTACCAGTTCTGGGAGGAGACCCTGAAGAAGGCGCGCTACGTCGTGGCTCCCATGGTGGACCAGAGTGAGTTGCCATGGCGACTGCTGAGCCGCAGGCATGGCTGCCAGCTCGCTTTCACGCCCATGTTCCACGCTGCGCTGTTTTCGCGAGAGGAATCATACTTCAGGGATGCCATGCAGACGTGTCCCGAAGACAGACCTCTCATTGTGCAGGTTGTGCATTAACTCAAGTGACTGCTTTATAGTTGTCAAAGTAGCTACAATAATATTGTTAATCAGACTTTCTTACTCCAGATATGTGTCCCAAAAATGTTGAACTTCAGCATTTTCATATTAAAACAGATTGTATATCACATTCAATCAATTACAATAAGATCAGACACTTAAAGAAGTAATAATACGTGTTCACGATAATGATTTTCTGTGGAGTGTTTGCATGTGATTTACTTAAAAGCAGATGAAGATGTGATTTGTAAAGTATTCTAATGTGTACTGAAGACCTAGAGCTTGTGTGACGTAAGGTCCTTTACAGTGATACTCCCACAGAAAATGATAGCCCTAGCAACACAGCAGTAACTGGTTTTTACTTTTGTTCTGTCCACAGTTCTGTGCGAATGACCCCAACGTCCTGGTGCAGGCTGCCCTGCTGGCCCAGGACCACTGTGATGCCATAGATCTCAATCTGGGATGTCCTCAGTCTATCGCTCGAAGGGGTAACGTTATATAGCCACAATTGTTTTAACCTTTCATTCATTTTTGGGCGTTGTCCTTCTAGTGTTGTTGCACCACCCACTGTTTTTTTTGTTGCTCTTAATTTGTGTGAAGTAGTGACTGTAAGGGTTTACTAATACATTTGTAGTACTTTGCATTGATTTTTTTTACTCACTGAATTTCAAATTGCAGTTACTATTAACGTTAACTGTACTAACTTCATATTTTGTATTGTATTTTATAGCGAGTGTTCCCATGACAGAATTTGGTGGTGATTATTCACAGGTCATGTTACATGTTATTTTTTGTACAGGTCACTACGGGGCATTCCTACAGGATGACTGGGACCTGTTACGTAGGATGGGTGAGTTAAGTGTCGTGCATCAGCTGCTAGTCAAGTACACCGTCAACAAAATGAAGTGTTTGCAATGTGCTGAACATGCTGTCAAGTATGTGACTTTTATAATCCTGTCTCCTGGAATGAATACTAGAATTCTAGTGATACAGTACTAGACTCTAAAAGGATTATACTAGGTCTTGCCTTTGTTCCAAAACACAATACTGTTAAAGGATTGTGGAATTTAATTAAAGATGTAGCAATCTTGAATCAAATCTGATCAAGAGCATTGTGAACACCCAGACTCGTTTCTCGTCATTGGAACGAATATTAAAGTTATATACTGATAGGTAACAGTTAGCTGTAATGTACATAACACGAGGCTACCTTGTCACATTCCCCCAGTCTCTGCTGTCCATGAGCGGTGCTCCGTGCCTGTAACCTGTAAGATCCGAGTCTTCAATGACATACAGAGGACTGTAGAGTACGCCCAGATGCTGGAGAAGGCAGGTTGCCAGGTATGTTGAATACCTTGCATTGAAATGGTGTATACTAACTTCCTTTTTTGTGTAGACATTTGTGGTAGCCTGGTTGCCATCCTCTGTAGTTTTCTGCCAGCTCCCCTTGTTGCTGGCTACCACCGTGGTTAGCTAGCGACAAGGGAGTAGGCAGTAAACTACAGAAAGTGGCAACGAGGCTACATTTGTGGCATTAATCTATTAGTCCACCCAGTGTTGTTCTCTTGTTCCTCTCTGGAGAGTTAATGTTGTAAGCACCACGCCTGTTTAAGACAGGGAATGATGAGGATACGATACTCTGTTGCTCTAGCTCCTGACAGTCCATGGACGTACAAAGGAACAGAAGGGGAGTCTTACAGGCCTGGCCAGCTGGGAGCACATACAAAGCTGTCAAGTAAGCATCTGTCAAACTGTCACAGGAAATTCTCTTTGAGTGTGTGTTATGTAGTACTGAATTAGGACTGTTCTTATTGATACGTTTCTGTCTGAGACCAACCTTTGATGCATTGAAAGAACTCTGCATAAGGTACAAATGTATGTACATGTAATAAGTAACACTCTAGATCCCAGATTGGGTTGTATGAGGACACTGACAGTCAACTTCAGTTGTGAAGGACCAAGATCCCAGATTGATTATGAATGCTGTAAGCAGCCAACTGATAGCCTTGAATGCCCGTGGACCAATGTTGATTTCACAGGGACAATGTGAAGATCCCTGTCTTTGCCAATGGGAACATCTTGAACCTCCAGTGTGTTGAGAAGTGTCTGAAGGAAACGGGTACAGATGGAATCATGACTGCAGGTGGGTCATGAGGGACGTTTTTAACACTTGGTCTTTTTTTGGTGAGATGTGATTTGCACCCTTTATTATGCTGCAAGCTAAAAACTATGTTGGTGGCTGTGAACATTTTGATTGTGTAGTACACATACTATCGAAGGTGAATGGTAACATGTAGTTTTTGCATTGTGAATATTGAAATCTTCCCTACGTTTTGAGCATAGTGGAGCAAACTTTGGGTGAGAACTTTAATAGCCTGGAATCCATCCATCCATGCTTTAAAACATTGCCGGTTCTAGGAGTCACCGCCACCAGTAGCTCCTAGAACCAGCAATAGCAAGTAGGGATGGATTCCAGGCTAGAACTTTCAAGGATAAATAGAATTGAGCAGTGTAACAGCCTCACTGCTATTTCCCCAGAGGGAAACCTGCACAACCCTGCCCTGTTTGAGGGGAGGAACCCTCCTGTGTGGGAGATGGCTGATGAGTACTTACAGCTGGTCAGGGAGAACCCGTGTCAGCTGTCTGCAGTCAGGGGACATCTCTTCAAACTCTGGCATCACAGGTAAACAACCTCCGCCTTTCAAGGGGGCCCACATGCCCTTTTTCGTAGAGCGTAATCAGGTCCGTAGAGACAGACCATTCTAATTCAGCGTAGAGCGTAATTGGCGTATTTTGCATAGAGCTAATTCCCCGTTTTAATTCTACGTAAAATGTTGTAGCCACTTGGAATTAATTGTAAAGCACAATCGAGAGGTTTGCTGAATTCAGTGTAATACGTACCCAGCTCTGAAAATTTAGCATAGAACTTGGTGGGACCTCCCCATGCAGGCCCCCTTTCAAGGCACAATACCTCCAAGTCTGTTGTGTTGCTTGCTTCCCTGTCAACCTGAAAGCTAGAATTTAGAGACCACTTAAAACAATTTTATAACATTTTGGGATATACATGTAGATAAGATTTGATTAGTTGGCTTGAGTCCTATCTCTGACAGTTGCTATCAGCGTACAGAGACATTAATATTGTTGCCTTCTTCACAGCCTACAGATCCACACAGACATGAGGACTGCCTTGGCACAGGGCAAGACTTTCGACAGCCTGGTTGCTGTGTCTGAAGAAATGAGGAAGCGTTGTCAGGTATGCCTGCCCGTCTTGTCATCTAGGTTACAATGCCGTTAATGCATGTGTATTCTCCTTACCAAACAACAAGTGTTTAGGGTTCAAGTACTACTTAATGGTAATCTTAGTGACTTGACCTTTCACATATTTTTTTTCAGGAGGAGGCATCAAAGCCTGGTGCAGATCAGCCAACTAATGGCTTACCCTTCCCACACTGGATCTGTCAGCCCTACATCAGGCCAAGGTACAAACGTATGGTGGTGTTAGTAGTAAGGGGAGAAAGTATTACATACTGTCTGCACCATGGTTGTACAGAGTGGTATCTATTTGCTCCAATTAAAGAATACAGTGGATCCGGACTTAGTCTGGTTAACCTGGCAGAATTGATGAAGATTGCAGGATATTACATTTAGATGTGATAGATGTGTGTACATGGAAGTTCATTGGCAATAATCTGAGCAGCATCCTCACCAGTTAATGCATGCTTTGACTGACTCATTTACACCATAGTGTGAGTCAGTGGGAACGATTGTAAAAGTACGAGGATGGTACCCAGATTAAGTTGGTGAGCTATCATTACATGCATACTACTAGTACTTGCGGATTGGTCACTCATAACATATCTTTTGTGTTTTTTTAGGGGTGACCAGAAAGAGAGGGAGCTAGCCAACAAGGAGCGACCACCAAAGCGGCACTTAATCCAGGAGGGAGAGAATGCCGGGTTGTCACGGAACCAGATCAAACGGAGGATGCGATACCCGCACAAGAACTTCATCAGCAAAGGTGGGTGGTTCCCTACAATAGGATAGCACGTCCTAATTTAGTTACATAGGAAGGATAAAAGTCAGGAGGTTGTCAACCAGAGTGTTCTCAAATTATCTCACTTTAAACACCTTTTCAGTTTATTTTAGGTGACTCTATCTTTACTTTCGTCTGCACTCATGTCGTCTTGGATATTATGGTTAACAATGCTGTGTGCCATATATAGGCTTGGGGCCATGGATTGCTTGTGAGAAATGCGGAAACCCAAAGGTGAGATTTTCTAGAGTTTACATCAGCCAAAGACTTTTCAAATTTTGAATTTTTATAGATGAATTTTTAGAGGTTCTGATGGTTCAGAGCACTAAAGTGGTATTTATAGAATTGTAGAATTAAGAGAACTGCATTTCAAAGTAAGTTATTGTTCTGTGCTGGTACCAGGTTGTGTAATGTCTCTTTCTTGATGTGACTTCCAGGGACTGAACTGTGTGTTTAACTTGTGTCGAGCCTGCTGTAAAGTCCAGGCACATGCCGAGAAGATGGACTGTCCAAGTGAGTCACATATTTCAGAACAATGCTAAAAGTACGGTATGTCGTGATGTTCCTAGTTTACAAAAATTTGTAGCAATTGTTGCAGTGCTTCGAATTACTCTTTGAGACATGCTGGTAAGCAGGACTGAACATTTATCTAAACTTGATGTCAGGACTCCCTTCTCTGTAGAAAGATTACATATTATACAGTCCTTACATATTGAAAAAGATGAACTGGAACTTTTCAATAACATATTGTTACCGTGACTGTGAAATGCTTTTGTTACCCACTCCTCAGGTCATCGACTCTGGTTCAAAACCAAGGAGGAGCGACGGAAGTTATGGGAGGCAAAGAAGCGGCAACGAGAAAATACAATCGACGCACCTGCAGACAACAAATCACCTGATCCAGACAATCCACAGAATTCTGTTCAGAAGGAAGACAGCTCAATGACTGCTCAGGTTGATGAGAAGTGTGAAACAAATGGGAAAGAGACACAGGCCCTTCAGCATGGGGAGGGCCCAGTACTGTCAGAAAAGGCCTCTGAGGTGTCACCTCCTCTCATCCAAGACCCCAAAGGTGCAGAGAATGCTGAGGAGTTACCTGATGTGAAGAATGGGGACATTCAGGACTCCCCACCTACCAAAGTGTGCCTGCTTGATGCAGAATGAGACACAGCAGGCCTGGGGCAGACCATGGGGGACACGGAAGCTAAGATGAAGTAAACATTTGAGTGCTACGGGTAACAAAAGAACAGGAAGGGAGGAAAATGGACCAAATAAACCCAGGGTAGTGCAAGTGTTCAGGAAATGTTTTATCCTGTAATCTAACAAATTAGTCTTTGGGTTGTTCTATGAGAAGTAAAAGAACAAATTTATGGTAGATCTAAACTATGTCATTGTCTTATTTTAGTTTTATTACCTTTACTTGTATGCTGTATTTAGTAGTTTATGGTTTGAACCAATGGTTTCAAGTGGACTTTTGCATGGTGGCAAAATGTCAGTGTAAAGTCAAATCTCATACAGGTACTGTGATTCTTTCCTTCTAGTTCACATTGACAGGAACAATTTGCAATCAAGGAAAATAAAATGTGAAAGCAATACTCTGGTAGTGACAGTAACATGAGACTGTGGTACATCTTTGTTTGCTTGAAAAGTTAAATATTTCAGTCAATTTTGCCACAAGCTGTTTCAAAATGTCTCTGAATGTATGTAGCAACATTGTGGTAAAAAGAATTGGGCATGCATTATTTTTCAGAGGGTGCAATGTGGAAAACGTCTCACTATAGGAAACACAGGCAAGTTCTAAGATAAGAACATGAGTTCCAGACAGCCTGCTTCAATACTGATAGGACTATTTATAATATGAGTAAAAAAATACTGAATATTTGAAATAACTATGTGAACAGTAACTATTTTTGTCTATTTGTAAATGGTGTAATGAAAAAGTTTGTATCAATAGCCAGTGTGTGCTTTATGATGTCAAGCGTGCTTTATATGTTTTGATAAAGACGGAAACTATATCACTGGAGATGCACTGGTATGAAACTCTTGTTGACAAACAAAATACTGTAAGGCCTTCATCTGAGCAAATATTCTGGCTAGCTCACTGTCAGTACTTCTGATTGAGTTGATATAACAGGATTGTACTTAAGACTAAGTGTAACCAAGGGTGATTAATAAACCTTGGTGTAACTGCTCTTCTTTCATAACTTGATACTTCAACTGAATGATTTCATTGTGATTTTGACTATACATGACATTGTATTACATGTGTATTAAGAAGTGTCAGTGCTGCAGTAACAAAGTGCCTCCAGTCTATCTGCATAATCATGGATGTCCCTGTTGTGACACTGACAGTGTATTAAGAACTGATTGGACTTGTTGCAGAACTGTTCCTACTTTCCAATGAAATACTGCAGAAGGGCAACATTTGGGGATTTGGTGCTTTGCAAATTCACTCGCCATGAGGCAGCTCCTGCAATTTAGCCAACTTAAAGCATGTCACACCTCCAAATTTGAAGTTTCTACCAAGCTAACTTGGAAACAGATAGACTAAACGTACCCTTCTATCATAGTTGCTCCATTGTGCATGTACTGCTATTAGTCAAGACTTCTGTCATTAAAACATACCCTGTATTACTTAAAAGGTTTAAATGAAGCACAGGCCAGGTCTTGCCGTAGGTACTTACATAATGTTCATCTGGCTTTTCTCAATAACAAATATTTGTTTAACAAACTGGCTTTTTAGTCCAGGGCGGGTATCACATTGAATTTACTTATCATGTCTGCATAGTGTTGTTTCTTCAGACATAACTAGACACATGGAAGGCTGTGGCTCCAAAAGAACTCACTTGTGGATAACTCCATTTGTGGTGTCAGTATTTTGCTACATATTGTCAAGGAAATATGTTGAGAGTAATACTGTGCACAGGAATAAACAAGGCAACAATCATCCAAGCAATGAACTTCATTTAAATGATTCTTTTCTTGCAAGGGTAGACCAGTTTTTGTTTTGATAACAGAAGCCTTGATAAAACTAGCTTGACTAAACCTAATATACTGGTAGTAGTGATACTTAAGTAGCTCCTATCATCTACAGCTGCCTGACCTGCTCATTGATCCAAATAAATTCAAAACCAGAAGTCAATAAGATCAGACACATAGGCACAGTTCATCCATTTATTTACATTCAGCCATTTGCATTGAGAAAAGAATATTGTTTCCTCTTTCCTTCTTTGAGAAAACATCTTCATTGTCTTGGTTCTATCAGCCATATCCACATTTATCCTCAAAATGAAATATACACGTCTTTAAGACATGCTTATAATACTGTATTTACTATAGAAGACTGCATTGAAGTTACTGTGCAACGTTTACATCTTCCAACTCAAATTGCAAGATACAACCAACCAAAATTCATTCATTTTTATACTACTAAGGAAATTGTCCATTGTGCATACATGTCAGCAACAAGGCAAAATGTGGCCCCAAAATCTGCAATACTTATTCAATTTAATACCAACTCAGGAAGACCAAAATAAGATTGGGATTGCATCCCTGTCTAGATAGCAGTATCACTTATCTCATATTAATAATCCTTGTGTACACATTGATATAAATTTGACAATGTTGTCCATGAATACACCTGCAGGATACACACCTCTTCTTTTGAAATCTAACAAAGACTTTTAGATAAAGCAATGGTGACAACTGCACGTCAGTGTAAGTTACTACCTTGCTTTAGCATGCTTTCCTTGTCTCCTTGCACATAACCCACAATGGCAAGCACCAGGCATTTTCATTTGCTTGCACTTACACTGACCAAGGTTTCTTAGCTCACAGGCCACATGATTTTTGAGACACAACTTGGCACTTATCTTGGTTATCATATCAATCTGTTCATAGTCCTATGTTTTCACAATGGACTTGACCTTTGAGGAGTTATCTTTACTCTTTGCTTTATCCTTGTCTTTGTGCTTATGTTTGGTTTTCTTTTTCTTGTGTTTGTGCTTCTTAGAGCTCTCTGCCTTTTTCTCCTTCTTGTGCTTCTTCTTGTTTTTCTTGTGCTTCTTCTTGTGCTTGGGGCTGCCTGGTGGACTGGGGCTGGCCGAGGTAGCCTGGTCGGGTGCCTGAGAGCCTGCATCTGTAGCCGTGTCTCCCTCCTCACTCTCAGATTCCGAGCTTGAGATGCTGTAGTCTGGCTCAAATTCTGCTTCCTCATGTGTGTAGTCCTTGACTGGGGACAACTGTAAGTGAACAGTTTTAAAAGTACAGTTTAGTGTTGTGTAGGTACCAAGCATTCTGTGACAAAAAAGTTTACTTTTTCATGTACAACATGTAACAGGATGTCACAAAGTACGAACTAGACAGATTAGCATTCATGTCTGAGCACAATGATAAGTCTAAGCGACATGGTTGGGAAAACAGATCACTACATAAATTTTGTTAAAGAGCAACAGTTACAGTGTCATCAAAAAAAATGTTGTATACCCGGGAGGGTGTGTTGGTTCCCTCTGAATCGAAGTCGTCCCGTTCCCACTTGGACAGAGGTAAGGTGATGGTGATCATCTCTTCTGCTGATGTGCTGGAGGCAGGAGCAACCTGCACGTCCTTCTTCACTACAGTAGGGCTGGAACTGGCAGCCTTCAACTGGACGATAAAGTGACATGTTTGTTAAGAATCAAGCTAAAATAGCAGTGGGGGATCGATGTATCTGTCTTTGTTTGTTTGTCCTCTCACACCCTGATAAGCATATTGTTGACAATTTTGATACTACTAGTATTCATCTATTATGAGGATAAAGTAAAAAATTAATATAATGCAAGAAGTATGGTAATGCCTTTATTTTATTGCAAAAGTGAAGAAAATGAGATCTTTTTGTCTCAAGGTATCTGCTTAAGGTATCTGCTCTGTCTCAAGGTATCTGCTATAATAAAAGGCATTACCTTTAACTACCCTCGTATATTCACAGTAAAACAAGAATCAGTACAAGAGTCACTACACCCCCATGAAACTCCTTCCTCTTCGCCCCCGCCGTTCTGCTTCGCCCCCGCAAAAAATCTGCGGTTGGCTTTAATTAGTACCCACCTTCCATGGCGATCAGCCTAGCGTCTGTCCAGCCGTGAGTGAAATTTCCCGCCAGTACTTATAAACGTAAGAACCACTGACGGGCCGTGAGGTAGGGGTAAACTTTTGAATGGGAAGGATTTGTGCAACGCCACTTGACAGAAAGGTGGTCCAGAATGTTTGCCGGAGCATGGGCTACTTTAAATTTGGCGGCACAGCCCTTATTGTTATTTTGCAGACGATTTTCGTGTCGACTGTGAGCTGTGCCGCCATTGGGGGCTAAGCAGAAGGACGGGGGCAAAGCAGAATTGCGCCGGGGCCGTAGAGGAACGACGGGGGCGAAGCAGATTTTTTGCGGGGGCGAAGCAGAACGGGGCGGGGGCGAAGCAGAACGGCGGGGGCGAAGAGGAAGGAGTTTCATGGGGGTGCACTAATGAAGAATACATCATGTAGCAGTACCTGTACAGTCCTGCTGAGTCCCATGGCCTCTGATCTGGCCTTCTTCTTGGCAGGAGAGCCCCCGGTGGAGCTGGCACTGGAGTACCCTACCAGAGATGATGATGATGTGGCGATTGTGTCTGACAACACGGTCACCTTCCTCTTGGTGGTCTTCTCTTTCTTGACCTTCTCTTTGGTAGGAGGAGCTTCAGAGCTGCTTGGCATGTCCTCTTTTACGTGTAGCTTCACCACACTGCGGGCCTTCTCCTTACGCTTTTCATCATCGGACCTTTCAAGCTTGACCTTTTTCGTAGGGACAGGTTCTGGCGGTTCAATTCTAATCCTAGCTTTCTCTTCCTGTTTTTTCTCCCTCTTCTTGTCGTCGCTTGCAGCAACTTCTGACGGCATTTCTGACTGGACACTGCCATTTGCTGCTTCCTGTTCTGCCCTGCTGTCAGGCTTGCTCTCCTTTCTCTTTCTCTTACTGGTATGTTTGTCTTGAGATGTTTTACTGGAAGCATGTTTGTGCTGCCTGTGTGAGCGGCTTTCCTTTGAGGGTTTTGCCTCCACCCGTTCCTCCTTGGCTTTCTTCTCAGGAGGTTCCTCTGGAGCAGGTTCTGTGGAGGATGCTGGGGCAACTTCCTTGGGAGGAGGAACTTTTTCTTCAACAGGAACTTCAGCTTTGCTGACTTCGGGTTCAACATCCTGTTTCTCTGCAGTTGCTTCAACTTTAGCAGCACTTTCAGTTTCAATCATGGCTTCTGGGTTCCGTTTACTATGCCTGCGCTTGTGTTTATGATGATGTCTATGTCTACTACTACTGCTGGCACTGCCCTCCTTTGCTTTCACGTCTGCACCAGGCTCAACTTTTTCTTTGCTTTCACCATCTTGAGCTGTTGTCTCAGTGATGTCCCTGTCTCTGCCTTCCCTACCACTTCTTCTACTGCGTTTTTCCCGAGAATGTGATCTCTTCACCTCCTTGGTTTCTTCAGCTTCCTTAACCTGAGAGTTTGATTTCTCCTTTGCCTCCCCTTCCACTTCAGCCTTACCCTCCTTATTCTCTCTAACAGTGGGAGACTTTTCTTTCTTGCTACTGCTAGCATCTTTGTCCGTTGTAGATTTATCTTTCTTAGAATCCTGCTCCACTGAAGGTTTCTCCTTCTTGCTACCATCGGCAGAGCCTCTGTCCCTCCTATCTCTGTCTTTTCTACGGACATCATCCTTGGGAGGGGTTCCCCGATCTCTGTCAGGTCTAGATGAACGTGGAGGGTGCCTGCTAGACTCGGGAGGCCTTCTTGATGGGGAGGATGGGCGAGCATGAGGGGGTGGGGGGAAATCAGGAGGGTAGGGGTAGGGGTATGAGTAAGGATAGGGAGGGGCATGGGGCGAACGGGACCTGTAGTATGGTGGGGGTGACCTTCCTCGAGGAGGGGAACGCCCCCGGTAATAGTCAAAGGAGGGAGATCTGGGCCGGCCAGGATAGCCAGGGAATCCAGCAGCACGTTCGTAATAGTAGGGATCGTAGTAGTAGAGATCTGGTGGGTAGCCAGGCGGAGCTGGAGGGTAGTGCCTGCGTGACCTTGGTGAAGGAGAACGTGAGTAACGAGCTCCAGCAGATCGCCTCCGTCCTCGGCGCGGAGGGGACCGTGATCGGGACCGCGGGGGAGGGGAGCGCGAGAACGAGCGCCTGAACCTGGGCGACCTTCTGGAACGTCTGGGAGAACGGGAGAAGGATCGGGACCTCGATCGGGACCGCGAACGAGGTCTTGTCCTGGAGCGCGACTTTGATCTGGATCTTGACCTGGACCTGGATCTAGACTTGGACGATCCTGAGCTGGAGGATGACGACCATGAGGAGTGAGAGGGAGAGCGACTGTAGGACCTGGCCGGGGAGCCTGAGCGGTGCCGCTGCTTCTGACGGAGCAACTTGTATGCCTCCAGCTCATTGGCAAAGTCGTTGGTCATCTTGTCTAGTTTGGATGTCGATCCATCCCTGTAACACATGGATGTCAGGGATGTTTATTGCACATTGACATGATTGGGTAGCCCCTTCAACTTATAAAAGTTGATCTTCTAGGTGGCCAGTATACATAGAAGAAAACATATTACACTTATGATTTAGTGTGATAAAGACAAAAGGTGGACAACATTCAATATGGCAATTAGATAAGAAATAAAGAAACTCCATATCATGTGAATTTCCAATATCTTGACATACTGTACAGTTAATACTGCCAAAGACCACTCAGGGGACCAATAAAGTCCAGTCTATGTGGACAGGTGGTCACTTGAGACAGGACTCTTAATGCTTGTGTCAATGGACCTATCACATTATTACGTCACAGTTTGTTTACCTGTTCTAAAAAACATTCTAGAACGGTCAGTTAAAGAATAAAGATCATTTCAAAGTTTTCAAAGTCAGGTATGTTTGATTTTTGCTGTGTCTAGTTTTGTTGTCACAGCATTGCATGCAGTAATAGGTGATTTGGTTGTGACATTAGACGCAAGTAGTACTGTATTAAAATCCTTATATTAGGCTAATGCTACACAAACACACACCGTGCTACGCACCTCTTTACAATATAAACGTCGATTGACTGGCATTCATTGCGGTAAACAAACTGTGACGTAATAATGTGATAGGTCCATTGAAAAATTATCTAAGGACCACCAAAGAGTGGCCACATTGGCCAGGTGGTCTTTATGTAGAGGACTTGCACAGGTTTGACTGTGAAGTCTCATTTAGCATAACAAAGACTAACAAGTTGCTCACCTGTTGGGTGCCGGAGGAGGCTGTCCAGGAAATCCCTGGGGTGGTGTGAGGCCAGGAGGGGGTGGCTGACCTGGGGGGAAGGCAGGCGGCTGGGGTGGACCAGGGCCTATACCTGGTCCTGGGGGAGGGGGAAGAACGGTGGGGGTGGGGAGGTGCAGCTGATGATATCGGCACAAACGGGGGGCTGTTACCGGGGGGTACAGCTGGAGGTGGGGGTGGAAGTCTTGGAGGCAGGTCTGGCCTTGGTTCCGGTGCGTGGGGTGGGAAGTCTTGATGTGGTCGTGGCCCACGAAATCGTGGATTAAAGCTGAGGAAAAAACATTTGTCAGGTCATTGTAGTGTGGCTTTGTTCTAAGGAAATCAATATTTTAAGAAAAAAAAAAGAACTCTTTTGCAAGACGATACAGCAAGACCATGTCAAGAAATCATTTATGGTGGTTAGTGGTTACATAGTCTTTCCTTCAGTTATGTATCTCAGTAAAGCACGTAGTTGTGCATGATGCAAAATATTGTTAAGTCTAGGTTTAGTATATAATCTACAATAAATGATATATGGAGGAGACAGAGACAGTACTTGGAATGCCTGGGGCCTTGGAACCTTCCACGTCCAAACGGGGGTCGAGGACCTGGTATACGAGGACCTGAATGTCGTGGGCCTGAAGGTCGCGGGCCTGAAGGTCGTGGATCACTCAGATATTGCAGAGGTTGCCCCTGAAAGAGTCATGAAAAATGTCAAACTCAAAGGCCATGAAAAAAATGATTCTTGGATTTATTGATCGAATATACTCCACTTTTTTTTACAATTAGGAATACCACAAGTATCTAACATACACGTAACTAGTTACTACTCTCCAAGCAGAGGTTGTGGGGAATGATCGTTACCTTTTTATATATGGCCGTTTTTTTTTTGTCCTGATCCCCATCGGCGGCTAATGGAGCTTCTCTTGCCAATGGATACTGCCTGGCCAATTTGATACTGTCTTTTTTGCCACCGATAGGGATCTGCTTGGAGATTAACTAGTTACTGGTTTTTATTGAAATTTGCCCTATGAACAGAACATATAAGTGAAACTGAAGGAGTCCTATCTAAAAGTATCAAACACCCTTATGTTGATTTCTTGAATGGATTAGTACCTACCACAACATTGGGTGTCTTGGTGATTGTTGCTATGGGAACACCTGTTGCACTTGAGGATGATGGAGCAGAGGATGCTGGGATACCTGCAGCTGGAGAAGGCTTCTGTCCCTGTGGTTTACTTGGAGGTCTGGAGATGAACAAAGTATGGTTTTAGAATTCAACACAGACAACTACAAATATGCTTCCAGAATGTCACAGTAGCATCAAGATTGTTACTGGTACACTGGTTAGATACTAAAGAGAGGATTGAACAGTTACATGTGCAGTGCAACATTATTGTCTTGCATTAATCCCCTGAAACTGCACAGAAACGCACCAATACACATGTGACACTAGCTCAGAAAAATGAAGAGCATACATACATTACAACAAAATCATTTCTAAACATCTGATAGTGAAGACAAAACTGACCTCGCAGGAGTTGGGTCTGGTACGGCCTCCTGTTTCTTTGACTTTGCCTTTGTGTAACCAGTCTCATTCTTGAAGTTGGTCACAGCCTGTGGACATGATAACAGTCAAGATGCAAGTCTTTAACACTGAATATTAAACAAAAATTTATCTCTTTACATAATAAAATCACAAATACCAAGGTTATAAAAGCAGTTCCCACCTGTCTGAGGAATTTGTTAGCGATAAGAGAGTCTGGTGAGACGCCTGTCTCATTACAGGATGGGCAGACGTGTTCCTCTGACTCCAATAGTGAGTTACGCATACCTGCAACAAAAAGTCAAGACAATGTTATATAAGGCATACTACATAAGGAATGATGATTAGGTTCGTAAGCTTTCTACTCTCGAATCTGTTCTTACAACAACAGACTTTTCCAACTCTGACTTGAATACCTCTGCTTAAACCCAGTTAAGACTTCAGCCTTTGTTAGGATAAGAGAGAGGTATGTTACTGTGCATCATCTACAAGAATATATGATCACAGGCAAACGTGGGGTTGTGCGGCATAACGGCGAAGTATTTGGCTCAGAACCAAGAGGTCCCAGATTCGAATCCTGCCAAGTCACTAACCTTGTGCCTTTGGGAAAGGCACTTTACACAACTTTCGTCACTTCGCTCAGGTGAAATCAAGTATGCCAGAATGATCATTATTGTGGGCATTAAAGGAAAACCAAACAATATTGCAACCTCCAAAGCCCACTTACACTCATCACAGAAGCTGTTTCCGCAGCAGGGAATGACCACAGCGTCTGTCAGCAGGTCGTTACACAGCATACACAGGAGCTCCTGGGGGATGGCGTTGTCCTCCTCTGGAGCCGCCTCCTGCTCCTGAGAGGGCAGGAAGGGAGGACGCTCCTTCTTCCCCTCCTTGTAGGCTTGTCTGTGGGTGACACCGGAAAAGGTTAGGAATAGATGCACTGCTATCATACATTAGCAAAAACAATGTTATTTTCCATAAAACAAGACCTTAGCTTTCCCTAAAGGACAATTATCTGTATACACTAAGTAAAGAGACTCTTTTTACACAACCAAGTCTTCTAGTCAGCCGACATTTCGGTGACCATCTGTCACCTTCCTTAGGGCAATTCTGACTGGTTCACATTGCATTCCAGCACAGGTGTCACTGCTACAGATGCATTCCCAAATGTACAATTTTTACGTATCTACACATATGCGTGATTACAGGGAAATGTATCTACAATGCGGTCCCAAACGTGTGGGAGTTGGAACACCAACTGTACGTTTGGAACCGCATTGTGGAATCTGTTCTTAGGTTTCCGTAACTGTTTAATAATTGACCACAATTATGTATATATCCAACTCGGCTGAATAAAAGACTTGGTTGTGTAAAAAAAGAGTCTCTCTACTCAATATCTGTATAGCCTCTTGGTGTTTTCATAACATCTTAAAATATGCTGGATGCCCACGGGACAAAAATCAAGAAATTGAGCCTTACTCATCTATAGTGGGTACTGCGTATTCCCCGGTGGCTGTGAGAAGGGCTCCCTTGGCCCCAGGACCAGACACAGTTGTCATGAAGCTACGTGGGATGCCGGTGCTCCGCTTCACTCGGGGGCCCAGGAAGTTTCCCTCCGTCTGACAAAAAAAAGGCCAACATTTGCTGTAAATCATTATGATAAAAAGGATGAAGGAGTCCAAATTACTACATTTGCATTGATCATGCAAACCTTATCGTTTCTAGTTCCATGCATTTGGGTTTAAATGGGGTAGGGGATGATCCTAAACTGTCTTCAGAACTCCTGTATCTTGTCAAAGTCTTAGTGGTTCAGTTAGTCCTCACTCTAAGTACGTTCAAGCTTCATGATGTTTCTGACTTGGATGACTGAGATGCTATTGAGTCTTATTATGTGGTGAGAACTGAGTATAAAATATCGGACTCTGATGAAGAAAGCCTGACTTACAGGAGGCACAGGGCAGTCCCTTATGAAGTGCCCAGGTTTCTGGCATCGGAAGCACACGTAGGTGGAAGGCGGGGGTCCCTGGTTGTTCTGGTAAGGCCTCCCTCCTCTCCTCACATACCTGTATACAAAATGTTTACATACATGTACTGTAAATCTTGAAATGTTCATTAGTGTTTTACTTCGGTGTCTTTTTCGGGGTGATATCTCTACTGTGAAATCATGACACACAAATGAGTTTCTATTGTATTACTGCTGTACTACAGAATTGTTTCAACAGCACCTAACGCATGGGATGCCCTCGTCATGGGCTTAGGCCGTCCCCAGTGGAAAGACGGTGTCACAAGGACGGCTGTTTGGTGGAAACACGACATACTTACGTTGAAGGATCGTAGTCTTTGGTAGACTGGGACATCATTGCCTTGATTTTCTCATCCTCAGTGGCATCAGCACTGACCAGATCTGTCATCTAGAAGTAACAGTGTGGAAGGAGAGCTGTCAATCTCCCTTCAATACATAGTACCATTGGAACTTCAGATACCCCAGTTCTACACACAAAAAGGGAAAATTAGGCAATGTACATTTTGGTATAAGATGATAGAAAATACTGTACCTTGCCCAAGGTTGATTTGCTTGGTCCAGGTTGAAAGTCCATCTGAGGAGGGCAGATAACAAGATACAGATCCCTCTAAACAATTCTATGAACATAATTTTGCCTGGCAAAACATTTCATTTTGCAACCAATCCAAGGGAATACATGGATGTGCTTGGACACAACATGCTACTAACTTACCTGTACTCATTCCTCATTGCAATACTTACGATGGGCACAGCGTCACGGGATAGCCTCTCAGATAGGGTACTACATGTAGTTGTAATTTCGATCAAACTTGAGGCACCAATTTCATTATTGAAATGTCCCTGATAACGCATAGCGATAGCTGTGATATTGAGAAGTGCAAAAGGGCAACAAACACATGAAGCTTAAAGTGTTTGTGCCTCTAAACTGTTTTTCCAAATTTTTCAAAATTTCATTTTGTCACGTCAAAGAATATGAATGTTAAGCCTGTACCAAGAACACACACCTGGAACTTGACAAGCCCTCTTTACAGATCACAACTCAGAAAAGCAAGGTGCTTATTCCTTGTAAGACAGGTTGCTATTATTTTAGTCAATCACAGGTTTACAATACAATGTGAATGAGGAAAGTCAATAAAATGTGACAAGTCCTTGGTCGTACATGCATTCCTGCCTAAGACTATTTGTTGTAGGAAACTGATTTTTTGTATGGTCAGTACAGCTACTCTTACTGTACTTAAAACGCGTCTGATTGTAAGGAATACTCGTATAGGACATGAACAAAGTTTGTGATTTAGTCAACCTGGAATCTATCAGCTGATCTGCCTAGATGGCTGTCCCAGGCTTAGCCCAATGCTAGTTTCTTTGCATTGTAGTGTGTACATGTACCAGTGATATACTGCTGCTCCAAATTTTGAAAATCATGACAGGTATATCCTCGAAACAAAAACGGGACCAACTTGGTTCAATAATAAATGTGCAAAAGGGGTGGAGACAGTGGTTCAAAAAAAATGTGAAAAGGGGGTGGAGACAGCAAATTTTACCTGCTAGTAGACGAGTACCAAAATATCTGCCTTTTTCTTGTTAAGACTTCTAAGTTAAAGCTTTACGATCAGGTGTTTGACAGTTTACACTCACTTACAGAGGAACTGTAGAAGAAAAATCAACCATTCTACTTGAAGCGTCACATGGACGAACTAGTCTTATAACACCTTGCAAACAAAACATGTTCCTTTTCCTGGTTAGTCTTTTTGAGTAAAGCTTTCAACAATCAAGTACGTTTGGCATCAGACTCCAGTTTACGCGCATATACAGAGGATCTGTGGAGGGGAAACTACTAAGTATTCTAATTGAAACGCCTCTCGCAGAGCATAAGCGCAGACAAAATTCAGCTCAGACAGAAGAATTCACATAAAAGTTTATTCATTTTCCAAGAACAATGTTCTTATAAATGAAGAAACTGCCAGAAGACGTCTCCTGGCTTACCTGACGTTGTCATCAATGGTGGGTCTTCTTCACGTGGACGTGGTAACCTTCTTAAGGTTTAACTCTTTGCGAACAATACTTCATCTGAAGTGTGTTTGTGCAAAGCATCTTGCTTCTTAGACATGTTATACACGTATGGTGCCACATACAGAGTTTAGATAACTCTCAACAGATGATAGGTTAAATATTCTGATGTCTGCTAATTAACAGATGCGAGACAAAGCATACAATAACATAGCAGACCAAAAGCAACTGTGCCAGAACTATCCTACCATGACAACATACATTATGTGCATAAATTCTTCTTTTCAGCTGTTCTGGAATCAAAGATTAATATTGAAGACATCCTGGTTCTATCTAGCTGCACTTTCAATTAACCTGGGTTACACTTATCTCTACAAGACCTCACGGTCAGGCCAAAAAAGTTGTAGAAATCAGCTTAAAATGGGATGGTCCTCTAGCTTAACAAAAACAAAAATACATGGACTTCTACAACCTTTTTGACTAGACCAGGTGGACTGGTAGAGATTAGTTACAGCTTCCACAGATATACAAAATGCAACACCACCAAAACTTAAAAGGTTTATCACCAGAAAGTAGCTGTTCAACCAAAACTTAAGGTTACCATAATGATCTTCAAATCACCAGAAAGTAGTTATTCAACTCTGGACTGCAACCAACATTACCAGGGCTCGAAATTAATTCTTGAAAATACAGTCTGTGTACTCTGTGGTATAATGTTAGCAAACCTTAGTGCCTCTTCAGAGCTTGAATTCTATAGCTAACTTAAAAATTCAAAACAAGGCATACAACAAAGGTTTTCTTAGTTTTTCTGACACTTGAATGTCAAGCATTTGCATAATACTAGTGTACAGTAGTACCTTTATGTACACAACACTACACAAATACATGTATCTACATGTAAGTAACAGTGCAACCAGTTACAAATTAGGTGCACAGCTCTAATCTTAGATCTAACAAAGCATCCAGTATTTCGAGCCCTGATTACATCTTGAAACAAGTATGTTTAGTTGGTTTACTTTCCACCACCAAGATAAGCAGATAAATTCCATCACATCACAAAAGCTGTATCTATACTAGCCTTCTCTTTCCAACAAAACAAAAACATATGCATTACTATTGCTTATAAAAGCACTGATACAAATACAATTCATGATGAGCAAAAAAACAAAAGGTGCTGATGCGGACACACATTGCTAATCATTGACCTTATCTATGCATGATCTTCATTAAGGTCAGCTATCAGCAAACACACCTCTATAGGATGGTCATTTGCAAATGCTGGCATACGTTCTAAGTGAAGACTAGCTTTCTGTCACACAGAAGTATCCTGAGTTTAGCTCAAAACTGCTCAATGTTGTTTGTGGGCTAATTTAGGAACACAGAAGCCACAGACACTACTTACTCCTTTAATAATAATTGCTTATGAATTATGGAGTCAATGTGATAGTCAATGATCTATGAAAGCATGAACTGATCTTTTTAAAGGAATTACTATTTTTAGATGTTGAAGTGCCAAACATATACATTTGCGCACTGCTTATCACACAGTAGGTTTCCAATCATTTTAAGCACATAAAGCTGTCATAGCCACATTTGTAACCCTAAGGATCATGATACATGTAGCAATCATCATCTCTCATTACTTGTTGTGTTGATTTTATCAAGTTACATCATAATTCATAAAGAATGTATATAAGAAGGTAGAGAGTTCACACAACACACAATTCACCAATCATGCATACAGAAGACAGTTCAGATCGGCTCAAGAAAGTTTCTCCATATGACCAACTAGAGCTGACATCTGTATTGCTGAAGATACTGTAACAAAGTGCACAACTGTACACACACACACACACATGTAACTGTTAACAAGTTTAAATTTATTGTTGCACATACTGCTGTGCAATTGAAAAGTACCTGCTAGGATTATCCTAGACCAAGCCTTTTCAACACACACAAATATACTGAGACAATATAGCACAATCACTACCAATAGCTTTAAGTACAACAAATAACCTAAAGTTAGCACCTCAAATTTAAGGCTATCATCTTTGCAGGTATCACTACTTCATGGTAACTAACCTATGACATGCCTAGCATCACATGTATCTAAAGAGAAAGCATATCTTTTGAGCAATGATAAGTCTTGGTTAACAGATGTGCAATATCATTAATCAAAGTCTTTATAATGTAAATGTAATAGAAGAAATGCACAAACTGAAACAACTTTTACTTAAGTAAAATAGGTTCTTTCTTCATCATGATGTTGAAGTGAAGGTGAAGAGGTGTGCAGTATATTGTTTAATATTTGATAAAAGAGAGGCAGGTACACATGAAAGTGGCACTTATCAAGAAATAGCCTTTTTGAGTCCATCCACTCATGGCTGTATATCAACAGACTAACAAACACAGGGAGTGGACACACTACAAAAATGACTTTAACACTAGGTTATCAGAGAAACCACTGCTTATGCAGTGAAATCTACATAACACAGGTATAATAATACTCCACTCAGTGGATACATCATTCATTGGAAATATTCCATTATGATTAACATACAGAAGTGAAATATCACTTACAGCTTCTTCTTTGACAACAACACAATGTTATCATTCTTTATTCATACAAGTAAAGTCACCCTTGGGGTGACCACTTCATGTATACCAACACAGAACAAAGTTCTAGTCTTACAGATATATTCATTATTTGGGCTCTTAATTGTCTTATAGGTATATGTACTTAATGATAGAATTGTAGCAAAGATACCTACTGGCTTCATGCTGGAACCAGCTACAACATTGGTACTCCTGAAAGTATATAATAGCAAGAGGTAAGCAAATTTGCTGTAAGTAGTACTGTAACAAAATGCCTACTTTATTAAAAGATCACAAGCTTCTCTATACAATCTATCATCTAACCCTGGAAACATCAATAAATTGTATGAGGCTTTCATTGGGACATAGTAGTAGTAAGAAAAACACCTAATTCTTCATCTCTGTTATGTGTCATACTGATACTAGTACTGTACTAATCTTTATTTACCATTCATGCCCAAAAGGAGAGAATCAGTAAATGTACAAATGACCACATGGTGCATGTGGCCCAAGGGGTGTAAAAACACTAAAAGTATAACCTGACAACACTAAATGTGCAGAAACCTAACGCTGAAATTAAAATTACAGAAAATGATTCTTACGTTGGTTGGATTTTCGTTTTAACGGCACCTCCGAGCGGGATCCTGCGGACTATCACGGATGAATTCTTCGGGATCAGGCTCACCTCATCCTTGTATTCTGTGATGAAATAAACAAAACAGGCATGCTTGTAAACAACTAATCACGTGATGTAGCTGATTGACTACATATGCAGTGGTATGACATATGGTCAGATTAGTTCATTGATGCATTTAACGAAAGATTAGACGAGCAGAAATAAATCTAGTACATGACATGTACAACAGGTGGTTTATCACATAATTATTCAAGAACAATGCGTCACATGTAAATATTGTAATTACATCACAATAATGCAATTTGCAAGGCAAATCTTTTCAACCTTTGACTAACCTTGAGAATACATGCAACTGGCTACGTTTAGTCTAGTAAGAAGTGACCCACCATGGAAAAGTCTAATCCAAACTATACTATCTATACTGACAATACTGTACATGATGATGATGTAAACCATGCACCTTCTTTGGTCTGGGCGTTGGTGACCTGCAGGTCAAAGTCAGGACTCTTCCCAATCTTCTTCTGGAGCAGGATGGCCCTCTTCAGGTCCCCCAGTGAGATGTTCAGGCCGTCAAACGTCACTTTGCTGTAGTCCAGCTGACTGTGAAACTTGTAGTGGACACACGACATGATGATCCTTTGTGGTTATGTCCAGGCTTCCTTCCAAGAAGACCCCCACACGTGCCACAAGATGTATCTTCTGGGTTCGTCACAACCGTTCACCGGTTTTTCTCTAAAGCCCCGAGTACAGGCTTAGAGTAGCAGTAGTTCCTGTTTCTCATACACTCTAAAGATAATCACAAACCTGTTCTTTGAAACCAGCAGCTTCAACATGAAGCAACAAACAAAAGCAGTTCCGCCATGTTGGATACTGTGGAAAGCGTGCCACACACAAAGAACAGTCGAAAACGTCACCTTTCTCGCTTTTTCAGGTCATGTTAACAACCACAAATCGCTCCAGGGCGTCTAATATGGATACAGAAGTCAAGTTCACTTCAGGACACTGAAACGTTGCCTGGAACAAACGCACAGAACGACAAAACGTGCACAGCTACACAACACACTGTGTCTTCCACGCAGATGTCGAACTTGTCGTCTGTGACGTCTTCGTTGAGGACCACCTATCTGTTCCAAAAATTATACCTGATGAAAAAGATAAAATCGAAAACAAAATGTATAATAACAGTAATATGTAAATAAAATACACTACTAAAGTATCATAACATAATAGTCATATTTTTGATACATTTATATATCTGTTAAGCTTTTTTCATTATCTTAATCATTTTAGGTAATGTATTTTCTCCTATAGGGTCTTGAATACACGGGGTTTCATCATTTGGTCATCATGGTTCTGTCCCATGAGACATTGCGATAAGGCACACGCAATCGTCCCACAATGCACCTGCATCCACCAAGATGGCGGCGAATTGACAGAAGAAAGTGGGTTCCTCTTCCTTCTTGTTTTGTTTCAGTGTTATTTTATCAAATTATAACTTGTTAACCGCTACGTCGCATAAAATGACCAGACTGCACTTTTTGGGTTCGCACAGGCAATATCGCTAGGCTTGACCATTCAGTGGAGCGTTCCATACGGAAAATTATGTTGATTGTTTACAAATTATTTGAGTGTCACAGACAAAGTTTCGAAGACGTATTTTCCAAAGAATTTTTTTCGGATGATGACATTTGCTTTTAGTTCGAAGGCAGCACATGACGTTTAATTGATTTTCACGAGTTGAATGACATTTTCAAAGGTTGACACACAATAAATCACTGATCAATCAATAATTTGAGGGTAAATTTTATTATGTCGTAAATTATATCTAAACTCAGAAGGTTTTTGATATTTGATATGTCAACAGGGTGTAGACTGGAATGCTACCTGGCCATACATTTGGTAGCCCGTATATCCTAGTCTTTGTCTAATAAGCACATAGCTGTCAGTCTTCCAATCATAATGTCTGTTTGCATTCCATCTCACCCCTCTGTTTACACAAGTCCACACAATTGCATGTAAGGATTTGCATGACAGTAACACCATTCACAAATACAAGGACACTGGATCATATCCAGTGAACCATATAGCTTGTATGATAAAGAACCAGTTGTGAGCTCTGTTATTGTGTTATTTGTTTTTCCTGTGGTATAACCATTACTCATCTAGCTAGGGTATCCTTTTCATCTGTTACCTTTCATGTATACATGTATGTAATGCAGAGCATGACAGTTCTATCAGCAGTGCCATATGTACTAGTATATATCCTTGTAGACTTGTCTGTTTTTGATGACTTGAAACATTGGTAATGGCATAGATAGCATCCTCTTTGCAGAATCCTGGAGGTTTAACCATTGTCCTGATCTGTACATTGAAAACACCAGCTGAGTATGAGTGTTTTTCTATCCTATAGGTAGATATGGAGGGGCAATGTGGAGTCTCTCTGGAACAAGCCAACGAATATTTTGGGCAGCAGGAGTATGGGAAGGCTGCAGAGTGTCTCAGCAGTCTACTGACCCACGTGCCTGATGCCGTCAGCGAAAGAACCAACCTGCTGAACAGCAGGGCAAACTGTTACCTGCGTATGGTAAGTGCCTTCCTTTATACATTCGGTACCATACAAAGCACTGCCTTCATACTGTAGTAGTACATTCTTATTTAGGACAAAGGAGATTCTATATGACAGCGATGTGTAAGACTTTTCTGTACAGATAGCTAACATTATTTATGCAAAGTATATTTCACTATTTACTCATCTTCTATTTTCCTTTGTGCAGTCAAGTTGTTTTCATTTCTTTAGAAATGTCTGTAAAGTGTAACAGTAACTCTTTTACTACATTAAGCCTTTGTCCTCAAGGAATGTACCAATGGTTTGTCAGTGCAGCTTTCACATGTGTTGAAGTTTGCTGACCCTACAAGATACGGTGCCTGTGTACATACACATGTACTAGTATTGATCTGAAAAACACACCTCCAGATCTCTCTTCTTGAAAATGGATCTGCTATTTTTAGCACAGCTTATAAGTTATACATCATGTACATGTCGTAATAAAGTTGCTTATGAGCAATATGTGTGACAAACGACTTGTGACTGAAAACAATAGCAGTGGAGTTTTGCCTGCCTCGGCTGTGAATGTTCTCAGAATATTTAAGTTTTTCCTTGTGATTTATGAATATGATATCAATCATAAAGTGCATGTCTTAGCAACAGATTATGTTATTAACCATATTATTTTAATTGCACTTTATCCTACAGAAACAATATGAGAAGGTGGTGAATGACAGTGATGAAGGTAACTGATATTTTTCACTCTTGGTTGACATGAAGTTGTTAGTAAATTTCATAAATAGAGTGCCACATTTTGAAGATTTTTCTTTGTAATCTTGTGTTAGCTTTCTTGGGTGCATCACTGTTTGTATCTGATGTACCAGTATGTCTGATGTGTATTCATGGCTTTTTTTTATTATAGTTTTATCTCTGGGTCCAAACATCGAGGCCCTACTGAGGAAGAGTAAGGCTCTGGGAAAGCTGGGAAGATTTCATGAAGCATATCAGGCAGTGGAACAATGTCTGGCTTTAGAACCACAGGTAAGACTCGAACAATTACCAGTTTAAGCAGGGCTGTAACTAGGCACTAGACAATGTAGCTTAAGGCCACACCAATTTGATTTGTTGGTTCTTGGATTTTATTTTTAAATATGAAGTGACAGGGCGAAAGAAATGAAAAATAAAAACAAAGCCTAGGCATCCTATGATAGCTCCAAATGCTATGATTGGACGACATACCAGGTTGGTTTGTAATTCAAACAATGAATTTCAAACTTTTAATCAAACAACTGCATTGATAGATGGAAGAACTGCAACAAGTCTTAAGAGAAGGTCTCAAAAGAAGGGACTTCCTTCAATTGTTTGGGCCAAAATATGAGCATTTTGGAGTTGATTCAGAGCCTGAAGGTTTTTTTAAATCAGAAAAAAGCAAAGCGGGCAAATCCATGAACCAACAAATTCAATTGGTGTGGCCTAATCTGGAGTTGAAAAGGCTTTGCACAAGTTTTGTCAAATGTCTACTAGACTTGAACTCAAACAATGATTGGATGATCTGAATGCTCACCACGTAAGAGAACTGTAAATCAAAGAATCCATATAAATCACATTGCATTATAGCATATCTTCTTTGTTCCAACATAGACATGTGCTCTTTCACGTCCTTGCCCCCACATTGTAAAGCATCACCAAATGCCAGCTGTAGTGTGCTAAAGGTCATGTTTTGTGTTAGCTGGCAGATCAAAAGGTAACTGTCAAAACTGGATGCGTCAATGCGTGGGGGTGGGAGGATTCATATTTCCTGGGGGAGGGGATATGTAAGCCCAAGGCCTAGGAAAAAAATGTTGTGTTTCCTGTTTCAGTCCTGAAAAAAAATTAGCGTCGGTAGGTAGGGATTATCTTTCTTTTTCTTTTTTGGACTTCAGTGATATCTATATGGGGTCCAATTTATACAATACAGTTTAACAAAGTAAAACTTGCATGAGGGCACTTTTATTTTCAATGTCAATGTTAGAAAACCAATTGTACAACGTTTTACCACTCAGATGTCAGATCATTGAGCTAGAAAAGGTTGATCAGCTCATCCCTTGCAGGGGTCCACCCCCCCAAAAAAAGTCTAGGGTCAAGCAGTTTTCTCTAGGGTCGGCCAGGAAACAGGGAACACAACATTTTTTTCCTATGCCCCAATCGTTTGTGTATTGACATTTTCAATACACATCCACATGTGTATAACATTTCTGCTGGTTTTCCTGATAATGACAGAACTCTGGGGCACTAAAGGAGCAGGCTCGGCTCCAGACGGTAGTGGATGCTCTACAGGATGAGGTTAGCTTAACCGTCTTTCATTGTAACCTTCTTATCAGCAGTAGACAGCACATCATGTTTAGCCCATTCATCTTCTAGCTGCACGTTCTGTGCAAATAGTACGTCACAAACACAAGTTGTGTAGGTGGTCTATTTTTACATCCTTTCTTGGAACAGTGAGATAAAGCCCTGTGTTGTCCCCGAGGCTATATTGCCGAGTCAGCATGAGTTGTGTTGGCAGGTTGCTGAGGAGGAGGAGCTGGCAGCAGCAGGGAAGGAGAGGGAGCCTCCCGAGGGCTCGGAGAGGGACTCCCCGAACATGAACGGGTCTCCCAGTAGCAGTGCCAACTTAGGGAAGACAGTCCAGGGCTCAGGCACCGCAACAAGTAGGGTCATGCCTATGTATTGCCAAACTCAAATTTCATTCATCACCAGAAATTTCTAGCATTTCCTTTTAGTAGTTAATGGAATTTTTGTATACAAATTCATTATTTGTTTAGTTGTTTTATGTTGTGTCTTGGTTTACTTATACAACATAAATGTACAAATCATATCATTGAGATGAAATGCTAATTCAAAATAAGCCCAGAATGGTTTATTTTTTCACTGGTACATGTTAACTATGGATGTATTGGAATTTCTATTTATTATCTAAAGATCCAATTACATACTTGTAGTAAAGTAGACTTGATCCTGATGTTTGTTGTACCCTTAGCCACAGATGTGAACCTGTACTGCTCGTACTGTGATGTCCAGTGTCAGACTAAGGTGGATCTTCACCTCCACTGCACCAGCCTGGCACATCAGGCCATCATCATGTCTGACTCAGGCAGAGACTGGAAACACAGACCTCCTCCCAGGGGCATCACAGGGGACGAGTACACACTCTGTCAGGAGTACGTCCCTTACACATTTTGTTATGTTTACCGAAGGAAAACATATTGTTTTTGCTCTGTTTCTTCCTCTTCTTCTTCTCCAAACAGTGACCTATGACCTGACCAATGACATGATTGGTCACCATGGTGACTGGTTTTGGGTTCCATTATGTTGCAATTTCATGGTCTGCTCTGCTCTGCTCCTGTCACCATATACTAGTAGTACATGTATGTGAATGTGTTTGAGTAAGAATTAATAGAGCAGACCATGTCCGAAGGTAAACATTATGCATTTGCTTTGCAAATGTTACTTCTCTAGTTTGGTTTTCCTTTAATGCCCACATACAATCATGATAATGATCATTCTGGCATACTGATTTTCACCTGAGTGAAGTTTGAAAAGTCGTGTTAAGTGCCTTTCCCAAGGGCACAAGATCGGTGGCATGGCAGGATTCGAACCCGGGATCTCTTGGTTCTGAGCCAAATGCTCTGCCGTTATGCCACACAACCCTGCCTTACACTGCACAACCCTGTTTGTAATCAGGGGGATTGGTGCAAGTTTTCGATACATAGAAGGCCTTTTCCTTCAGTTAGATGGTTAGATGATTTGTGTTTGGTTAGATGATTTGTGTTTGTAATTTCAGTCGAATGAAAGTGCTTCATGCAAAGTTGTGTTGCCTCGTACATTCAATGTTGTCATTAACCAGTAGAATGTAATGCTGATAGAGAAAGCAGTAACTCAAGTCGATTAATTGCATTTTAACCATCTCCCTGCTGCCCAACCCTGTCACCAATAGAGAATTGGTATAGCCAAATGGTTGCTTCAGTGTGCTAATGGTTAAAGTACATCTGCAATTCCAGGCACATCAGCCAGGGGAACTGTCAGTTTGGGACCCAGTGTACAGCGGCCCACTCCGAGGATGAGCTGGCAGAGTGGCAGGAGCGTTACCAGTACCGTCAGATCCGTATCCAGCAGGCGCGAGACAGACAGCTGAACGGAGAGTCGTACTCAGAGAAGCTGCTAGAGAGATGGATGTCCTCCTCTACTCCTCACTCTGTGGTACGTGGTACAGCTTTTCATTACATGCTATAGTATGGGTGAAGTGTATTGCTTTCCCTCATGTTTCTTCTTCTTCTTCTCCTCCTGCCATTTCGTTAAATGGATTAATTTTCTTCATTTTTGGGCTAAGTGACCTGAAATTTGGTATGGAGGTTAAGTGGTCAAATACCCTTAAGCAGGTTAGAAATTTTTTGCATGTAGGCTTTTAAAATGGTTTTATTAGGGTTTTTACCATATTTGGTATGCATGACCATTTTTGGAACAAGTGGCATGCATGACCATATTTGGCACACATGACCTACTTTCTCATCAGGTGGGAGTAGTTTCTCCTTGCTGACTGGCTGCTGGGATAATGTGATCAAACTTAGGATAATCAAACAGATACAGGGTTCTATGGAAAGATGATGTCAAAGCAAATACAGGGTGGTATGGATTGTATGGTGAAGGGGAAAGTTTGGAATGGGGAAGAAGAATGGGTGAAATATGCTGTATTTGCTCTTAAGGTAGTGTATAATGGTGCCTGAGGACTTTGGGGACATCTTAAAAATACTAGTTAGAATTACTTTTGGTCATTGAATTTTTTCATATAAGTACCTTATTGCAAGACAATATTTTATGCAAATTTTTATGACGTCACGATGACGTAATCTGGAGTTATGAGCCACGCCCCCTTTTTAGAAAAATCAATTTTCCTGGCCATTGCTTTGATTTTCATTGACCATATTTTGTAGAGAGGCGCACTATAGTGATAGCAAAAAACGTACGTCAGGATTTTTTTCTATCTTTAAATGTTGATTTTTAATGAATTTTTTTCGTAAATTTTAACAGTGCCATACGCCAGCGGCCCTCCCCAGCACATAAAGCGGCGCAGCGTGTCGGCCTGACGTACGTTTTTAGTTTAGAAGCTTATGTTTAAAAGAAAACAATTTTTGGTCCCTTTTCATTAGCAGTTTTGCCACAGTTTTGATCTAAAAATGCTGTATATGCTGTATGGGTTACATAAATGTCCATTTTGGAGCCAAAAAGAGCCGAAATCGCCAGGTTCTGGTCCGCATTCCAAAGGCCCCGATGACTTCCGGTAAAATGCGGGTCATTGACCCTACAGCACGCTGTATTTACCATACTGAGCCGCGATTTAGAAAAACTGATCGGGGATATGTTCAGTAAAAAGAACAGCCCGAACATCCCCATTCTTTTAGCGTGGGGGAGTCACGTGACCAAACCAAAATGGCGGACGACGACGTGGATGCCGCGAAGGACGCTGTGTGCTTTGCGGCAACATTTGGGCCGCTAGACAATCTTTTAAACGGCTATACCCTACGTAGTTTTGCAGGTGGACTTTCATGGACTATTCTGAGACCTTTCTGGAGAAAAACCGTCCGCGTTTTCTGGAGTTACGGACTTGTTTTTGATGCCTACCCCCGAAGTTCTTTGTTGTGTTACGGAAACAGCAACATACTCGGAAAAAAGACTGAAAAGTTACCGGAGTAGATAGCCCTGGAGAAAAGCCTGCCCGTACGTGGTATGAGATTACTAGCGAATATAATTTTGTTGATTATGTGAATTTCTGTTGAATGTTGTCCTAGTAGACGTGTGCTTACAGTATATGATTTTTTTTACGTACGGAGTTTTATCTGCAAATATGGACGATCCGTTATAAGCTGCCACCGCTGTAAACCGTAAAGATATGTTCGTCGTTACAGTAAGATTGTGTATGCATTCCGCTCTAAGATAGCTTGAAGTTTGTTTGTATTGTATTTCTTTAAATAAAAAAAAGAACGTTGCAGATCGGAAATCAGTTCTTGTGTCATGTTTGTTCAAGTACTAGTATCTTCTTCCTGCAACTGCATATAACAGT